TGGCATGAACTCTAGAATTGTGGCATATATACATGAGTATTATGTCGTATTAAGCTAAGGCTTTGGCAGTTCTTTCGCTAAAAAGTGTTGCTTAGTGTCTTCAGACCAGGACCATTATCGATAGCAGGACCATTATCGATAGCATTACTAACAGGGGATGACTTGAATCGACTGTGGAGGAAGTAAATCGTGGACTCGTGTAGCCACATCAGTCTTGCTTTCTTTTCCTAAGTTGTTGCTTTCTCGGAAACTTTGCAGACTTCCATTTATTTTCCTTTCCCGTGGCAGACAATTTTGAATTGTGTTTGAGACTCCTTTATTCTGCTCAATTTCAGTACTTTGGAATTTTGTTTGCCTTCTCTTCCTTTGCATGGGATGAGATTTTGGATGGAGTTAGACATTTTAATTCGTTGATGATCCTTATCTATCCTCGTAAGTCGACAAATCTTGTTTTGTGATGCTTCTAATTCAATATGAAGTTGGGGAGTCGAGAAGTGTTGTTCCACTTTAAAAGACTTTGAGAATCTTTTTAAGGAGGGTAACCGTGCCTGGTGCAGGCACATCGTGAAGTACATGGCCGTCTTCGCTTTCGATATTCGAAATCGTTGAAGCTCATTTAGGACTGCCGGCATGGTTAGCTACTTAAGCAAGAGCTGACGTGACGGCCGACACTGTTTGTCGGAAGAGTCGAATGAGCTAAACGTTTCATTATTCAGTAGTGAACGCTATGTTTGGGATTATTCCCGGTTGAGGAACCGATCCTCATTTCTTTGGGTAGTTTTACCCGACCTCTATTATTGTTTGTTCGACGGAGACTGTGTTGATCAGGGAAGGTGGTGAACTTAGAACTCGGTTTATGCCTATATTTGAAACTTTTAAACTATTAAAGATGTTCTATACCTGCATGATGGGAGAAATCAGTTTTTTTTATTAAACCCCAAGTTTTTGTCGTTCGAAATATTGTGGAAAACCCTTGTTCCTCCCAATTACCTTGGAAATGTTTACTTTTGATTTGGTGAAATTCTTCTTAAGACCTCGAACCCAAAGCCGGCCCTGGCCGGGTGTAGCCACGCGAAGTGGTGGCCGAGCACGCATGTCCGTGCTGAGAGACGTAAGGCTAGTGCACGGCCGACCGTTGACTCGCACGTGAGCTGCAGCCGCCATCACCGAACGCCAAACTCATCATGCCAGTATGTACGCCAAACCTTGACCTTGCAGTTGCTCTCCGAACAGGTACATACCCGCGTCCCAGCGTCCCGCTTATGCAGCGCCAGCGAGTGTGCCACCTTTCGGGGGACAGTGCATCGACCATACCGTTGATTCATTTTTGAACCGTTCAACCAGTTTCTGTACCGAAATGTGATGGGAAACCCCTTGAACTTTTTCTTCTGAACCTTGAACCGAGAAATCTAAGTCCCACTGAACCAATGTATGAATTGCCTAAATCACTTAATGCTTGATTAAGTGAGTTTGTTGATTATTGCTTAGCCGTGAGAGGGATGTACCTCGAGACGGCAGGAATTTGAGGTGTTGTATTGTCAAGCGGAGTCTCGAGTCTATATTGGAGACTATGCAATCACCGTGGGATTGATCTTGGTATAAATGTCTTCCTGAAGGTCGCACCCTGAGGAGTGTGATTCGCTTCGGGAAGAAGAGAAGCTTCGGCCTTATTATATCGTAGTCTTTCAGTATCTCGCACGAGTCAAAGACTTGGCCTACCGGTTAGCCTTACCGCATGTGTTGTCGGAGTGTCTGACCCCGAACACGTAGTGGACTTCGTCGAGTTGCAGGTCGAGTGAGGCCTTACCTATGAGTAGGTACCGGTGTTCGTACTGGACCGAAAGGTTCATCAGCTGAGGACCCGGACAGTTGATCTTGTCGAGGTGCAATGGAACTGGCACGGCAAGTCCGAGGCGACTGGGGAGACTGAAAACCGGATTAGGAGGAGATATCCGAACTTCATGCTGATGTGGTATGTTAAAGTTTGGATGTTTTTAGTTTCGAATTCCGAGGACGGAATTCCTTTTAAGGTGGGTAGACTGTAATGCCCTGTTTATTTGTGAAATATTTAGGATTATTTGTTTATTTATTTATATTAGTATTATTGTTGTTGTTGTTATCATGCTTGAGATTTATTTGCCTAATTGCTATTATTATTATTATTATTATTATTATTATTATT